AGGTGGGGGGGGGGCGGGTGTTAAATGTGTTCTTCAGTTACGTTATCTGTAATGAAAAGACTTAATTAAACCGGGTCTGCAATGTTCAGCTTTCATGTGATTTTGTTATTTTAACATCAATTTTCTAGATGTTTATACATATTTATGCTGTATATAATTACACAGTTCTCCCATTTTCTGTATCTGTCTATATTGGCAAGGAATTAAAAATGTAAGTACATGATATTTAAATCTATTCACAGCAATTTGCTGTGACATAAAACATTTAATTATCCCAAGGAATACAAATTTTTACTTGTGTTTGTCATTTTAGATCTGAAAAAGGGACAAAGAGATGGTTGACATTCTTCGCCTTAATTTCAGTTTTGGTGTTACTTTCGGGAATTCTATATCTTTACAAGAACTGTTGTTAGGGACAAAGTTACTGCACTATGGACTGAATTTGAAGTTGACATAAATGGTATATGACTGTAACATGTCAGAGCAATAGTTCTTACATTTTTACTTTTTTCGTATTTAATTCAAATTTATTGTATTGCTGAATCACATGTGGAGTGAAATTTACAAGAATGAAATTGGATGACATGTGTGTCATAAGCAGAGTTACTCGATTTAATTCAATTTAACAATAATACAAATATTTTTAAATAAATATAATTATATATATATATAGGTTTAGAGAATGGAATTAAAGTCAAATGTTAAAGCTTATATGCAATTGCATTTCACTATCGAGATATAGCATTGTCTTTGAATTAATGTTAAGCATGCTAGATAGGAGTTTACAAAAAAATAAAATAAGATTTATATACTGAATCTTATCTTTATTTCTTCTAATTTTTTAACGTATGAAAACTTGTGTTGTTTATTAATACAGAAGTAGCTACTACAAGAACTATTTTTTTGTGCAATGCACTATTTCTATTAGCTGCGGAAGGTAACAAACTGTGAGTAGACTGGTCTTTGGTGTATTTTTTATTATCTTTCTTTCAGTGTTTTTTCTCTCTTTTAATTTACCATTTTCATGGAAATTGATGTACATATTTTTAATCGTCCTCCAAAAATTGATTATTCGTTGTTAATATGATAGGATAATATGATGAAATTTATTCTTTTTAGATCATGTTAAAATGTAGGAGCCAACAGCTTACTATATAACCAACTTTGTTTCTATGATATCATATTCACTATTGATAATTTGTGCCATATATCGCACAGACAGTTTGGGGAAGCAAACGCGAATGTTATGTTACTTTTAGACAAACATAGCTGGAGAGTACTTGACATGGACAAATTCTTAATATATATATTTGTACCAGACCCTTGGTACTTTCAGGATTTTATTCCTAGAAAGCGCAATTCAGGTTGTGAGAATAATGTGTGCATGGCTTTAATATAAATGCAGTGTTGATATACTATTATAGACATTTGTTTAAACTTCTACAAACGTTTAAGATATACCATTGTTAAATCCGGTGCTAGCGGACAAAAACAAACCCCAAACACCAACAAAATACAAACACATAAACAATGCAATGTGCAAAACAAACCTCTGGTGACGTCGACAATAAAAAATTAACACATGTCAACATAAATCATTCATTCCAAGATTATACATAAATGTCCTGTTCTGTCTTATTTAAGATAACTTTATTATTGGAGTATCTCAATTAAAAATTTGTCTCTTTTTTCAAATCTTTCAATTCTGCCATTCATAACACTGTTTCACCATCGTGCCATCGCGTTTTACCACCGTACAATCGCGTTTTCACCATCGTGAAATCTCCTCTATACGTTGCTGATCGTAGAGCAGCAACGGTGGTCTTCTTAAAATGTCTGTCCTCGTAGAGATCTTCTCCCCAGGACCAAATTCTTTGCATCGTGGAACGCAGGAAGACAATAGAAGAAAGACACCTCTTCCGAGAGGCAGCAATATCGTTTTCGTCTCAGAAATACCATGAAATAGTGTCACCTAAAGTGTAGCAAAAATTATAGCATTTATTATTAGCTGCATTTAATTTGTCAAATGAATAAAAAAGAAGAAAAATGTGAAAAACAATAAAAAACGACAAAACAAAATGTAAAACAACTAAATTAAATAATTCGCGATTTAAAGAGTTCACGAAAACGTATAATATTAATCAATTTTCAGGAGCATGACATGTAAAAAAATATTGCCTTAGAGTTATTGTATTATTCTACTTAACGCATAGGAAAAATACATAAGGAATAAAGATAGTCCGAACACGAAAAAGCTTATTTTGTCCGAATAACTTACACCATTATAGAACTGTAAGAAAAGCCTTCATTGTTACCAGTGTTAATTGATGTATGAAGTAAGGGGAATATTTGCAAAAGATATCTAATGAAATATATAATAGCAGCTTATCTTATCTATATGTAGATTCATACACTGTTGTAACGTAGAAGCATTCCAAAGTTATTAGGATTTTAGGTGTGAAAGAAAACAGTTATCCCATACTTCATCATATTGTTGTTATATTTTCAGAACCTTCGCGATTATTTATTCAAATACTTTAAGCGTTACGATTTGAATATTGTTAAAGCTGGAGCTATATTTGTATATCATTTTCCATTATCTCCAAAGAAAAACATTAAATAGCAAAGCAAACAGAAAACCAATAAGTAACAACCACTCTCGTCCGAAATACCTAGACAACGCTTTAAACAGCAAAATCGAAAATATTGCAGACTCGATTTGATTGAAATCACATTTAAACGATCCACTAAATGTACTAAATAGATTACTGCATTATCACCAAAGGAGCAACATTAAAAAATATCAACAATTGTCAAGCACACACAAGTAGAGTATCGGCTGCATTGTAGTTTTGTGTAAAGAAACCACGTTCATAAAATGTTCTTTTCTGAAATAAATATATTAGATATATTTACAAGGAATAAATGTCACATTGGTTACAAGACAGGTGTCTTAACTACCTGTCAGCGCATATATCGTAGGCTAATGTCCTTCTGACCCCGTTGCTTTATACTTTATAACATCAATGCTGTTAATTGTGTTGCTTTACCTCAGTAGAAAAGACTGGTTTCACACTCAATCAAAAACTATTTATATTACTACCATTTTATTTCTGACTATTATTTATATTTTTATAAGAAAAACAAGAGGACCCAGAGGGCCCTGGATCGCTTAGCTGAGAAATAGGTCAAAGCGGAGCCCCTTTCATTCCAAAACAAGGGCCAGCTTACACAATTTTTGTACACCAAGAAAGGTTTTATGTAAAATAAATTCATAATTAAACCAGTGGTTAAGATGTTGTTTTAATGTGTTGTTTTCTAATTTAAGAGGACAACTACGTACCTTACATACCAACTATCAAAGCACTAGATCTTGTGATTTTTTAGAAGAAGAATTTTTGATACTTCCATAAATAACTCTTAAAAAACTTATTAGGCCCCTGGTTGGCCCGTTTTGATCCGAGGGGAATAATTTTAACATTCTTCACAAAGGACCACTAGATGATGTAATATACCAAATCTCTAGGCCTATATAACTCAAAGTAAAATTGATGATTTCCTGGAGGGACCACTTTTGTACGGGCATAAGGTGAACAATCTTTGAAAAGGACCACTAGATGATGCTAAATACCAGATATCTGATTGTAGGTATTGCACATCTTAACAAGGAGATTTTTAAGATTTTACTATAAAATCTCTATATTATAAGCTTCGCGGGTCTTCTATTGACTATAGCTATAGGCCTTGTGGTTTTTGACAAAAAGTTTTTAAAGACATGGTCTAATGCACTAAAATACTACATGTACAACTACATGATGTTACCATTTAACTATTTGCTAAATTTTTCCGTTAGTAAGAAATATAAAGATATCGTCATTTAAGTGTACATGTAGTAACATGTTAATTCCTGATATTATTCAATAGGAGTTAAGCCGTTTCTGCATTAAGGTGACGAATATCGCACGAAAGGACAGAGAATCTGTTTATTTTAGGGTTAAAATTAATATATAAAAATAGAAAGAGGAAAAGTATCAAACTTGATAAGAAAAACGCTTTTGCAATGCAACGGGAAATTTAAAATATCTTCCTTAATAATTTTTTAAACTCAACATTTATATAGCAGGAAAAGGGATGAAAAAGTTAATTTTTGTTGATTTTTGTTAGTCACAGCTTACAATATTGATTCAAAACAGACAAGCAGGTTCAAAATATGAAATGGAATTTACGATGTGTTTTATTTTTAAATTGTTTATATTTTCAGAAATACTCGTTATGTCCTTTCAAGGTAAGCTTAATCTTTGTGAATACCTTCTTATGCACATGTTTGGTGGAATAAATCACCTGTTTTGATATATTATTAGTTGAACAATATATAACATAATAATAATACTAATACTATATAACATAATAATAATAATCATAATAATAATAATAATTATACTGCTAAAAATAATAATAATAATTATAAAAATGATGATGATGATAACTATTATATAATAATGAAAATGATGATGATGATAAAAATAATAATAATAACAATAATAATAATGATGATAATTTCACATTATTAGAAATAAGCTTCTTTAATGATACACAGCTCTGAAAATTTCAAGGGAGTAAACGTGATATTTTTTTTTTTTTTTGGGGGGGGGGGGGGCTGGCAATTTATCGCAATACCATGGCTAGCCGTTTTTTTGAAATCGTACAATCTACTCTGTTTGTCGTTACCAAGGTCACCTGCTCATTCATGTTAGCATTATGCATTTGCAAATAGTTCCAATAGGCCTATGTGTATAAACAGATAAACTGTTAATCTTAATTGAAAAATGTGTCGACTAGATATTATGACATTCTTAATCATTTAATACACTTTATTTGAACAGGCGTTTAAGCCAGTCATATTATTAGTTTATACACAAAACCTAAAGAAATGAACTAACGATACTCGAAATCGGTCGTTTAAATGATCAAAAAAGTTTATGCAAAATTTATGCAATTTATTTAAGTTTATATTATTTTCCTATCATATAGACTGACGTTTCAATTTGTTACAGATATTCCAGAAGAATATCGACGTGAATGTGGCATAATAGTCATGACAGGAAGTTCAAGTGGGTACGTTGTAAGCGCTAATTATTTAATTATCTTACAATATCCGTCATACAGTCGATCATTTTGTATTGCATTTTATTTCAGCAGAATTGTTGAAAGTTATTCTATTGTTTACCAACTGATATCAAAATGTACTTGTACCTGTACATTTTTGTAATCAAATAGTAATACACTCTAATGGCAACTTTATTGCGTATTTGGAGACCTAAAAATTGAATATAGTGAACAAAGTACTAACCTGAATTCATAGTCACAATATATAGACAGGTAAATTTCATATATAAAAAGTCGCATATCGAAAATGCGCTCTTGCGTACTTTACACACTTGTGTCTGTAAAATAATACATTATTATACTAACGTTAAAATTATACTAACGTTATCGAAGCACACTGACTGGAAGGGATTGCAAAAATGTCCGAGTTCTTTTGAATGTTCGGTTACATGTGAGACAAAATATTTTTTGTCCCAGGTTACATAAAAAACCCATAAAAAAGGTCTGTCAACCGGAAGCACTGCAAACATCAAAATTACATTAAATTACAGCACACTCGGTTTGACTGCACCTTTTTATATGGCAAATTATGTAAAGCTACAGCGCCCAAAGCATCGGGGCTCAAGTCATACATTTAAGCGGCTGTTTCCCTGAGCAAGAAACTGTACACTCCTTGCTTGGCAGGTTCCTAAAACGGTTTGAATAGTGTATATAAGATTATAGCTTCATACACAATCAAACTGAGTAGAACTCTGTTTAAACTTAGGAAAAGGTAAGGTGTAATGATGTTGTCATGTTGAAACGTTGGTATTATTGTTTCCTGCACGTTACTGTTGAAGAATGAATACCGCTAAGGCCGGTGCTAGGGGGCGTGAGAGATGTTACATATTTACGTTATCTATCATAAGCAAACTTCATCAAACTGGGTCCGCAATGTCCATGTGTATTGTTGTTTCATTGTTTCCGAGGGATCATCCCTTTGCCAGATTTTTATACTTATTTATGCTGCATAAAACCACACAGTCCTAGCATTTTCTGTATCAGACTGTGTTAGTTATAAATATAAAATGTAAGTACACGTGTATTTTTATTATCTTTTTACAGACAGTTTGCCGTGAAATAAGACCTTTAACTACCCTGAGGAATACAAATTTTATATAGTAATCTGTTTGTCATTTTAGATCTCAAAACGGCACAAAGAGATGGATGACATTCTTCGCCTTACTTTCAGTTTTGTTGTTACTTTCGGGAATTCTATATATTTACAAGAAACGAAGTTACTGCACAATGGACTGAATATGAAATTTACATAAATGGTATATGACTGCCAAACGATATGCCTAAAACAGAGAAAATAATTTTTACATTCTTACTTATTTCGTACTCTTTTTTTATTTCTGACGCACATGTGGAGTGACGTTACTACATTACTTAATTTATCTGTCAAATGTTAAAGCTCATATGCAATTGCATTACACTATCGAGATATAGCATTTACATGTCTTTGAATTAATGTTAAGCATGCTAGATAGGAGATTTAAAAATTTTAAAATATAGATTTATATACTGAATTTTATTATTATTTCTTCTAAATGTTAAACGTATATTATTATTCACGAAGTAGCTATTTCAAGAACTATTTTTGTACAATTTTCACTATTTTCATTATCTGAGGAAGGTTACAAATTATGAGTAAACTGGTCTTTGGTGTACTTTGTATTATCTTTATTTCAGCATTTTTTCTCTGAAGCTCTCAATTTACCATTTTCAGGAAGATAAACTATATATTTTATCTTCCTGAAAATTGATATATTCGTTGTTAATATGATAGGATAATATGATTTTTTTTTTCAGATCATTAACCAACAGCTTACTATAATCAATCTTGTTTCTATGATATAATATTTACTATTATTCAATTCAAACGTTTATTGCAATTAAGTAAATACATACTTATAGCAAATTACAAATGATAGAAAATTACACATAAACATGAAATTTTCGAGAAGCATAATATACAGGAATATAAACAAATACAATTAATATGCTACATAACATTAAGCATAATCAAAATGTAATAGAGATAGAATTTAAACATTTATCAAAGAAATCAGAAAAAAAATATACATGTATGAATAATTTGTGGCATTTATCGCACAGACATTCTGGGGAAGCAAACGCGAATGTTGTGTTAGTTGTAGACAAACATTGCTGGAGAATACATGACATGGACAAATTCTTACAGACCCTTGGTACTTTCAGGACTTTATTCCTAGAAAGCGCAATTTAGGTGTTGAGAGTAATGTGTGCATGGCTTTAATATCATTGCAGTGTCGATATACTTTTATAGCACTTGAAGGATATTGTTTCAACTTCTACAAACGTTTAAGATATACTATTGTAAGTTTTATCCGGTGCTAGCAGACAAAAACAAACCTAAGAACTAACAAAATACAAACAAATTAACAATACAATGTGCAAAACATACAATTCTTGTTCTGTCTTCTTTAACAACACTTATTATTATTGGAGTATCTCAAAATGTAAATAAAAAATTTGTCTCTTTTTTCAATTCTTTCAATTCTGCCATTCATAACTCGCGTTTTCACTATCGTGCCATCGCGTTTTAACCATCGTGAAATCGCGTTTTCACCATCGTGTCATCGCGCTTTCACCATCGTACCATCGGGTTTTCACCATCGTACCATCGTGCACCGCGGGTAAGGACGAAATAAAAATTCATGTTTGGCAAAACGAAAGAACGTATTTATTGTGCCGTATATCTATTCGGAGAACTAAGTAGAAATATCTGCGTTTTAAATATTAAATTGGTCGAACGTTTACGTTTCAGCTTTCTACAAATTGAATTACTATTGTATTCCCAATTCCTGTTGCGTTCTGTAAATTGAAAATTTATCGGGATAATTCACATCTGCAAATACTTAGAAACGCAAAGTGAGCAATGCATTAGTTAAATAAGAAGGTTAAGCAAACCTCGGGGAACTGCAGCACACATATTAACAACGAGATGATAATTAGTAAAGTTTATTTACATAATATCCTTCAATTATAAATTAATTTTTTTTCTAGGCCACATATCTAAAAAATCACCATATTTGAAATGTTTCGAAATATATTTACCTTTCAAAAAGATAGCAATTTAATAAATTTTAAATGATAACGACTACGCATTTCAAACAGAAAGCAGAGTTGTCTTCAGCCTTTCTTCCATTGTTTACATCATCTTCTTGAACCATGTCGTTCTGTCAGTTTTCTTTGAAAGGATATCTCAATGTTTGACTCAAACATCCCACCCGTGAGGAGACGGATGACCTACAGCGTAAAGAAGGCAAAATATTTCCTTCAAGTATCCAATCATAAGCTCCCGGAACAATCCTTTAGGTTTATTTTTGTATCAACATTTACATATTGATGTCCAAAGTTTCATGTCCTATTCTTTTAAGCCTTAGTTATTGATCTTATGACTGCTTACATTGAAAAGATTACTGTTACAAATTCAAATTGCTATGAAAATATAAAATATAGAAAAACAGAATCCCTAAAGAAAGTCCACCACAACAAAATTGTAAATGTTGCAGGCTCGGTTTGATTGTGCCTGTTCATAGACTGTACTGGAAAGTGCCAGTTACCGTCCAAGCAAAAAATGCTTTTAAATGACTATACTTGGCACAAATATTTACTTGTATGCTTTTGTAACGGCATACTAGTACTCAATCCTAAATACCCTGTTACCATGACAACGAGAGGACGAAAGAAATTGCCAGTAAACTTTATTTTGGGTTGAGTCAACGGCTTTTCAGTGTTCGTTACATTAAGATAAACCTGATTCACAAGTCCAAATTGTTCAAAATAGAGGGCACATCTGCCACTGACCCTCCCTCAATTATCTTTTTGATAGGGGTGGCGCCGAAAAAAGTGACCAATTTTTAACATTTCTCAAACGAAAACAAGTGTTTGGGGCCGCCTTAATAGGACATTTTTCAATATTTAAGCCTCAAAGTGTGTTTGTGAAAAGGCGTGGAAACACGTTTATATGAAGTCAAGGGATAGGTGCAGACAACATCAACATTCATATAAAGACAGAATGAAATACTGAGTAGAGTAGATCAAATACCCAAACGATACCTCATTACGCTTCATTAATGTATCTCTAACGGCATGAACACTTTCTTCACATATTTTAACAACATTGAAAGGCAAGTAAAATGGTATAAAGTTTATATCTCTATAAAATATATTATTTTTATGATATATTATTTTTTATGAATTATTTCTGCTCTCAGACTGGCTCTTTTTAACATGACAGTATAACACCTTGGGTTTTCAGACAGTCATTTAGTTATAAATATAGAAAATAGATTATGTCAAGCAATAAATAACAATCTATACAGACCTGAGATAAATTATTTCCTTTTTGTAAAAAAGAGATCGTACATGAAAATATGAGACATTCAACACATAAGCAGCATATTTTTCTTTCCTTTCACCAAACATAAAATATCGAAAATAAGAGAATTTCGGCACAGAATAGCCCTTTTCTTTATTCTCACCGGACAAGAAAGATATAAACTATAGGCAGAAAAAATACTGTCTTAAATATTAAAAAAAGAAGATATATGATAGCGTTTCCTGTAAGGGATAAATGGAGCCATCATATAAAAGAGAAAATACTTTTTTAAGGATATTTTAAGATCTAATTTTATATGTTACATTGCAATATTTTGTTATTAAGAAATGTTATCGTAAAAGTTCTGAATCACATACAATCTTACTCGAAAGCATTTGTTGGTGTTTGACATTGTAATGATAACTGAAATTTGAAAATCATGAGATCCATTGAAAGCAATTAAAACAAAGTGCAAATCTGAGAAATAATGTGTAATGTTCAAAAGATCGCACGGCCCCTGGCACCGGCTTTAGCGGTATTCATTTCCAAAAAAATAAATTATTGGTATCAACGAAACCGAAGGCTGATACAAATAAAGTTATATTTAAAGTTGGTGTTTCAATTCAACTGAAACTTTTACCAAATTTCACGGTAATTAAAAGCACACAATTGTAGATTATTTTTCAACGTACAAGGAGCTAAACAGTATCACGTTCTTTTTGTTTTTAATTTATTGATAGTGGGCGCCGGCTATGCCATATGTCCCAGACTATTGGCCACTGTTACGTCGCCGTTCATAGAGCCGCTACGGAGAACTTAGATTAATCTCCTCTATACGTTGCTGATCGTAGAGATCTTCTTCCCAGGACCAAATTATTCGCATCGTGGAACGCAGAAAGACAATAGAAAAAAGTACATCTTCCGAGAGGCAGCAGTATCGTTTTTATCTCAGAAATACCATGACAAAAATGTCACCTTAAGTGTAGCAAAAATTATAGCATTAATCATTAGCATTTAATTTGTCAAATGAATAAAAAAGAAGAAAAATGTGAAAACAACCAAAAAAAAACAAAAACAAAAAACGACAAAACAAAATATAAAATAACTAAATAGAATAATTCGCGATTTAAAGAGTTCATGAAAATGTATAATATTAATCAATTTTCAGGAGCGTGACATGTAAAATAATATTGGCTTTGCGTTATTGTATTATTCTACTGAACGCATCAGAAAAATACATAAGGAGAACACGAACAAGCTATTTTTGTCAGAATAACTTATACCAGTATGAAACTGTAAGAACAATCTTCGTTTTTACCAGTGTTAATTGGTGTATGAAGTATGCGGGAATATTTGCAAAAGATATCTAATAAAATATAAGTGTATTAGCAGCTTATCTTATTCATATGTAGATTCATACACTGAAACGGTTGTAACGAAGTAGCATTCTTAAGTTATTAAAATTTTAGGTGTGAATGAAAACAGTTATCCCATACTTCATCACATTGTTGTTATATTTTCTGAGCCTTCGCGATTATTTATTCGAATACTGTAAGTGTTACGATTTTAATATTGTTAAAGCTGGAGCTAGATTTGTATATCATTTTCTATTATCTCCAAAGAAAAACCTTAAATAGCACAGCAAACAGAGAACTAATTAGTAACAACCCCCTCCCGCCGGGAATACCTAGACAACGCTTTAAACAGCAAAATCGAATATATTGCAGACTCGATTTGATTGAATCACATTTAAACGATCCACAAATGTACTAAATAGAACACTGCACTATCACCAAAGGAGCAACATTCAAAAAAATATCAACAATTGTCAAGCACACACAAGTAGAGTATCGGCTGCATTGTAGTTTTGTGTAATAGGGCCACGTTCATAAAATGTTCTTTTCTGAAATAAATATATTAGATATATTTACAAGGAATAAATGTCACATTGGTTACAAGACAGGTGTCTTAACTACCTGTCAGCGCATATATCGTAGGCTAATGTCCTTCTGACCCCGTTGCTTTATACTGTATAACGTCAATGCTGTTGTGTTACTTTACCTCAGTAGAAAGGACTGGTTTCACACTCAATCACAAACTATGTATATTACTACCATTTTATCTCTGACTATTATTTATATCATTATAAGAAAAACTCAATTTCCTCAATTCTTCCGTAGTAAGAAACATAAAGATATCGTCATTTTAGTGTAGTAACGTGTTAACTCCTGATATAATTCAATAGGAGTAAAGCCGTTTCCGCACTTTTTATCGCACGAAAGAACAGCGAATCTGTTTATTCAAGGGTGTTAAATTAATGTATAAAAGATAGAAAGCGGAAAGGTATCAAACTTGATAAGAAAAATGCTTTTACAATGCAACGGGAAATTTAAATTATCTTCCTTAATAAAATCGTAATATTTATATAGCAGGAAAAGGGATGAAAAGTTACGTTTTTGTCGATTTTTGTTAGTCACAGCTTACAATATTGATTTAAAACAGACACGCAGGTTCAAATTATGAAATGGAATTTACGATGTGTTTTATTTTTAAATTATTTGTATTTTCAGAAATACTCGTTATGTCCTTTCAAGGTAAGCTTAATCTTTGTGCATACCTTCTTATGCACATGTTCGGTAGAATTAATCTCCTGTATTAATATATTATAAGTTGAACAATATATAACATAATAATAATAATAATAATAATAATAATGATAATGATATTTTTTTTTTTAAAAATGATGATTATAATGAAGATGATAACTTTTATATAATAATGAAAATGATCATGATGATAATAATTATAACAAAACTAATGATGATAATTTCACATTATTAGAAATAATATTGATCTTCTTACCTTCTTTAAAGTATATATGATACAAACCCTGAAATTTCAAGGGAGTAAACGTGATTTTTTGGGGGCTGGCAATTTATCGCAATACCATGGCTAGCTTTTTTCAAAATCGTACAATCTACTCTGTTTCTCGTTACCAAGGTCACCTGCTTATTCATGTTAGCATTACGCATTTGCAAATAGTTCAAATAGGCCTACTTGTATAAAAAGATAAACTGTTAATCTTAATTGAAAAATGTGTCGACTAGATATTATGACATTCTTAATGATTTAATACACTTTATTTTAACAGTTGTTTAAGCCAGTCATATTATTAGTTTATACACATAACCTAAAGAAATGAACTAACGATACTCGAAATCGGTCGTTTAAATGATCAAAAAAGTTTATGCAAAATTTATGCAATTTATTTAAGTTTATATTATTTTCCTATCATATAGACTGACGTTTCAATTTGTTACAGATATTCCAGAAGAATATCGACGTGGACGTGGCATAATAGTCATGACAGAAAGTTCAAGTGGGTACGTTGTAAGCGCTTATTATTTTATTATCTTCCAAAATCCGTCATATAGTCGATCATTTTGTATTGCATTTTATAACAACAGGATTGTTGAAATTCATTCTAATGTTTACCAACGGATATTAAAATGTACTTGTACCTGTACATTTTGTAATCAAATAGTAATACACTCTAATGGCAACTTTATTGCGTATTTGGAGACCTAAAAATTGAATATAGTGAACAAAGTACTAACCTGAATTCATAGTCACAATATATAGACAGGTAAATTTCATATATAAAAAGTCGCATATCGAAAATGCGCTCTTGCGTACTTTACACACTTGTGTCTGTAAAATAATATTGATGCTAACGTTATCGAAGCACACCGACTGGAAGGGATTGCAAAAATGTCCGAGTTCTTTTGAATGTTCGGTTACATGTGAGACAAAATATTTTTTGTCCCAGGTTACATAAAAAACCCATAAAAAAGGTCTGTCAACCGGAAGCACTGCAAACATCAAAATTACATTAAATTACAGCACACTCGGTTTGACTGCACCTTTTTATATGGCAAATTATGTAAAGCTACAGCGCCCAAAGCACCGGGGCTCAAGTCATACATTTAAGCGGCTGTTTCCCTGAGCAAGAAACTGTACACTCCATGCTTTACAGGTACCTGAAACGGTTTGAATAGTGTATATAAGATTATAGCTTCATACACAATCAAACTGAGTAGAACTCTGTTTAAACTTAGGAAAAGGTAAGGTGTAATGATGTTGTCATGTTGAAACGTTGGTATTATTGTTTCCTGCACGTTAGTGTTGAAGAATGAATACCGCTAAGGCCGGTGCTAGGGGGCGTGAGAGATGTTACATATTTACGTTATCTATCATAAGCAAACTTCATCAAACTGGGTCCGCAAAGTTCATGTGTATTGTCGTTTCATTGTTTCCGAGGGATCATCCCTTTGCCAGATTTTTACACTTATTTATGCTGTATAAAACCACACAGTCCTAGCTTTTTCGGTATCAGACTGTTTTAGTTATAAAGATAAAATGTAAGTACACGTGTATTTTTATTATCTTATTATCTTTTTACAGACAGTTTGCCGTGAAATAAGACATTTAATTACCTTGAGGAATACAAATTTTTATATAGTAATCTGTTTGTCATTTTAGATCTCAAAACGGCACAAAGAGATGGATGATATTCTTCGCCTTACTTTCAGTTTTGTTGATACTTTCGGAAATTCTATATATTTACAAGACCTATTGTCTGAGACAAAGTTACGGCACAAAGGACTTTATATGAAGTTTACATAAATAGTATATGACTGCAAGACGATATGCCTAAAACAGAGAACATAATTCTTACATTCTTACTTATTTCGTACACTTTTTTATTGTTGACGCACATGTGGAGTGACGTTACTTCATTACTTAATTTATCTGTCAAATGTTAAATCTCATATGCTATTGCATTACTCTATTGAGATATAGCATTGTCTTTGAATTAATGTTAAGCATGCTAGATAGGAGTTGATCTTAAGGTAACGTAAAATTAACAAATATAGATATATATACTGAAATTTATTATTATTTCTTCTAAATGTTTAACGTATAAAAATTGCGTTGTTTATAAATAAAGAAGTAGCTATTACAAGAACTATTTTTTGTACATTGCACTTTTTTCATTATATGAGGAAGGGTAGGTATTTGGTATATTTTGTTATATTTTTATTTCAGCGTTTTTTTTTCTCTGAGGCTCTCAATTACCATTTTCAGGAAGATAAACTATATATTTTAATATCTTCCTGAAAATTGATATATTCGTTGTTAATAAGATAGGATGATATGATGAAATTTATTTTTGTCAGATCATGTAACCAATAGTTTACTGTAACCAATCTTGTTTCTATGATTTAATAGTCGCTATTAATAATCTGTGGCATATATCGCATAGACAATCTGGGTAAGCAAACGCGAATGTTGTGTTACTAGCTGGAGAAGACTTGAACTGAGCCTGGAACATTTTCAATTATGCCATGTTGGGCTTTCTTTAGGGATTCTTATTTTCTCTATTTTGACATGGACAAATTCTTAATATTTACTTGTAACAGACCCTTGGAACTTTCAGGACTTTTTTCCTAGAAAGCGCAATTGATGGTGGTGAAAGTAGTGTGTGCATGGCTTTAATATAATTGCAGTGTCGATATACTTTTATAGCACTTGAAAGACATTTGTTTCAACTTCTACAAACGTTTAAGATATAATATTGTTTTGTTTTAAGATATAATATTGCTAGCGGACAAAAACAAACCAAATAACTAACAAAATACAAACAAATAAACAATACAATGTGCCAAACAAATCTCTCGTGAAAATAAAAAATTAACACACTTCAGCATAAATTATTCATTCAAAGATAATACATACAATTCTCTATTCGGAGAACTTTGTAGATATCTCTACGTTTAAATATTAAATTGGTCGTACGTTTAAGTTTCAGCTTTCTACAAATTGAATTACCATTTCCTGTTCCGTTATGTAAATTGAAAATTTATCGGAATAGTTCACATCTGCAAATACTTAAAAAACACAATGTTAGCAATGTATAAGTTAAATAAGAAGGTAAAGAACTGCAGGACAAATATGTACAACAGGATGATAATACGTAAAGCCTATTTACATAATATCCTTCAATTATAAAATTGATTATGTTTCAGGCCACGCATTTAAAAATGCACCATATTTGAAATGTTTCGAAGTATATTTACATTTCAAAAAGGCAGCAATTTATTCCATATCCTTGATGATAACGACTAGTCATTTCAAACAGAAAGCAGACTGCTCTGCCTTGTGCCCTGTCCTGTTTTTGTTTGGGGTCCTCCTGGACTCCTTGCCACTAGCTCTTGTTGCTGGGTCTCGTTGGGGTTGCGTTCATTGAACGCCGCCTATTCTTGTTGATCTTGTTTATCATATTTTATTTGTCTTAATCCCTTCTTTTATAGTTGATATTATCTTCGTGAACTATGCCGTACTGTTAGTATTCTGGGAAAGGATATCTCATTGTTTGACTCAAACATCCGAAGATACATGGCGCAGCCATGATGCGTCGGAAGTTACACAGCGCAATGAAGGCTACATATTTCAATCAGTTACAGAGACATAAACTTATAAAACAATTCTTCAGGTTAAGTATTTATCAGCATATACTCGATCATATCCAAAGCTTCATGTCCCAATCTTTTAAGCCTATCATAATATCCTTCAATTATGATAAAATCAATTTTCTAACTGAAGGATAAATGCAATTGATCTTAATTAATTATATTTTTCTGTCAACAGTAAGAATATACCACGAATTGTTAACCCCTCTAACTTCTAGATTTGAAAGTTGTTCACCTTTTCCAGTATAGAGTCAAGCCATTGTCCCAAATGGCAAGTCTATTCGGGTAATTAAAAAGATTTAAGGTTAACTTAACCCATCACCGGATGAGCATTTTGTGAAAAATGACTGTGTTCATTGAAAAACCTCCTGTTACAAGTTCAAATTGCTATGAAATTATAAAAAATACTTTAATACTGATCAAACTTGGCACAAATTTTTACTGGACCATAGCCTTTGTAACAGCATGCTCAATAGTTAATTTCCAGTTACAATGACAACGAGAGGACATCTAAAAATTGCCAACAATCATTATTTTGCGTTGATTGTTTCCATCAAAAATGATTTCAAAGTGTTGCAACTTCTTAAGGGATTGATACAGAGGCAAATGATTTTCAGTGTTGGTTACACGTTACCTTAAGATCAACCTGAGGCTAAGTTCTCTTAAGTCCCAAAATTTATTGGCGTTGAGGGGCGGAAGCCCCCCCCTCCCTCTTCAAACCCCCAAGCATAAGAGGTCACATCCCTCACTGGCACTCCCTCATGTATCTTTTTGATAGGGATCAGAGCCGAAAAAAGTGACTACTTTTTTAACAATATTTCTATAACGAAAACAAGTGCTTGGGGCTGCCTTAATAGGACATGTTTTTACTACTTGAGACCTAAAAGGGGAGGGTGTGAAAATGCGTTGAAACACGTCTATATTATGAAGTAAAGGGTTAAGTGCAGACTACATCGACAATCATTTTAGACAGAATGAAATACTAGGTAGATGAAAAACCTCATAACTCTCCAACGATATCTCAAAACGCTTCATGAATGTATCTCTAACACCATGACTACTTTCTTCACACATTTTCTATCAATATTGCAGGACAAGTAAACTGATATAAAGTTTATATCGCCATAAAATATATTTTCTTTTATAACATATTTTTGTTCTGGCTCTCTTTTAGAATATATTTGCTCTGGATCTCTTTTAGGATATATGGACAACACCTTGGGTTTTCAAACAATCATTTTGTTATAAGTATAGTAAATTGATTATGTCAAGCAATAAATAACAATTTTTACAGACTTGAGATGAATTATTTCCTTTGTGTAAAAGAGAGATCGTACTTAAGAAAATATGAGATATCCAACACTTAACGAACATATTTCTTTTCATAATATCATATTTTTTTTCACCAGACATACAATATCGAAACTAAGAGACTTTGGGCACAAAAGAACCATTTTCTTTTTCTCACCGGACAAGAAAGATATTAACTATACATAGAAAAAATGGAGCCATCATATGAAAGAGAAAGGTCTTAATTTATAAAGATCTTATTTTTATGTTACATTGCAATATTGTGTTACTACGAAATGATATTGTGATAGTACTAAATTTCACACAAAATCTTAATCGAAACATAAAATTGGAGGGCTATTTAGAATTTGTTGTTTTTTTATATTGTTATGATTACGAACAATTCTAGAAAGCGATTAAAACAAAGTGCAAATCATAGACATTTGCTTGTTTGGTTTTACTGAGTCTGTTCATGAGATATAATGTTTAATGTTCAACAACTAGCACGGCCCCTAGCACCGGAAGATGATACAAATGAATCTATATTTAAAGTTAAAGTTTTAACTCAAGTGTAACTTTTACAAAACTTCACGGTAATGCAAAACACACACTTGTATAATAATTTTTTCAGGTCAAAGAGGGGTGATTATTTACCAGAAGGACATTATCGAATGAATCCGCAAAAAGAAATAATAAGATAATTGCATAAAAATGAATTACATTTGTCAGTCATTTTGATAACGTTTTCATTTTTCTATTATAACTCATAAAAAAATTTAACCAACAAATGTTTCGCGTGCAATGGTAAAGTAAACATAGAAACCGAACTCGGTCAAAGATCTGATCCCTATCAAAGAGAAAAATATATATAGACAGATAAATAAATCCTCGTACATGTTGAGGTGATTGATTAATCTTAAAACCTTTCCTATTAAAATTGCTTGGCAAGAAGAGCATTGCGTAAATATTTAGAAACGGAAATATCTTACCGGTTTGATACTTTACACAAATACAATTAAAACAGCAAGAAATGGCAGATTTCTTTCGTCTGTAGACATGTGTTGAAAGTGTTGGTATGTAAATTTCTTTGATAGATAAATTCTCTGTAAATTGAGATATGCTGATTGAGAAACCTAAAGTTAAAGTGAAGGCAAATTCAAACATTCGTATTTTTGTACAATTTTAAAATGAAGGCCTCATGCAAATTTGCTTCCAAAAGAGTCATTACTTTTTATTTACGGCAGAGGTGTTAGTTTCAAGGATAACACACGAAGGAATTAACTGCAACGTTCTTTTTAAACATACAAAGTTCGAACGTACATTTTATCAAGTATCATAATGATAAATAATGTAATGATACCTTTACACATTCATTCTGTGCAGCAAACTCGAAAAGGATTGGCATAAGATGCAAATCTTTATAAATATTGTGTCTTCGTCGAAACCCAGGGATCATGAGATCGGGTCCTACTTGAGATTAGACCGTGTTTATTCATATGACACTAGCACTGATTGGTTCTAGGAAGCAAAATCGAAAGTGATTTAGTATAAGTTGCAAGAACTTGTTTGCAATCGTGTTTATTATAAATGTTTAAACTACACATACGTTGCAATTTCAAACTAAAATTGAATATACATCTATTTACACTTGAACATGTATTCAAGCCGGTGCTACGGTGCGTGGGGGATGTTGCACTTTTTCATTATCCCTAATGTACAGACTAAATCAAACCGAGTCTGCAATTTTCATGTACTTTCAAATTGGCTGTTTTTAATGCTTCCGAGGGATCGCTTTTTTCCAGATATTTTACACTTGACGTTATTTATTATTTTAATTATTTCAAAATTCTATTGCAAACCATTAAATATCATGAGAGTGAAATCCGTACCCATGAAACAAGGAAATAATAAGCACAGGGTAGTCAAGGAAATCCATAGCATTTGCCTAAAGTTGTAAAGACCTCTGTAAATAATCCTTAAATAAATTGCTTGTAATT